TTAAGATTTAGAAAAATAACTAAATATTTTATGGGCAAATAAAAAATATGTTTAGACATCTTTAAAAATCATATTAAAAAAAAACGAAAAATTCTTTTTCTCCTCAAGTGCTTTCTCATAGTTAATGAATTTATTAATCAAATTAGTGAGTAATTTCTCGATAAATCATTTTTTATAAATTATTTCTAAAATTCTTTTTATTTATCATTACCATTAAAAGAACACTATAATTGCTATTTGTATGTGTTATGATTCTTATTAATATTATGGTAGCTTTTCATTTTTAAGGATAGTAATTGGTATACGTGTTTTGGTCCAACACCTACTAACACTCACTAGTTTAGTCATTAAAATTTACTATTTTAAGTTTTTTTACCTTTAATTCAAATTTAAAAATAATAATTTTTCAATAATTATATTATAGAATGTGTTAAATTAAAAGATGTCTACATTACTGTTTCATTTTCAATTATAATATTATAATTGTAATTTTTGATTATATATTTTTATTAATTTCTCAATAAATCCTAATTAAAGTTTTATGAACATGCTATACCTTTTTATGTTACTGTACTGTACGTTATTATTTTTTCATAATAATAATTACATTTCTTATTTCCATTACCCTTTACCTTTCTATCTCTAAGTTTGCTAAAATCTAAAATATGTCGTGATGTAATATAATATATGAATTAATTGAGATTTATTTTGAAAATACTAATATAACCCATACCATTCCTTTCCACTATATATCCTATCATTTTTTTTTCTACCATCAAATTTAATTTCATTCATTAGTTAGGTTACATTGTTATAATTTTTTTTCCTTGTTTCGTTTAAAATGAAGTATAACTTTTCTTTTTAACTGAGATTTATAATAATTGTAATTATGATTATGTTTTTCATTGATTTATCAAAAAAATCCTAATTAAAGCTTTCTAAACCTTTTATAGCTATTGTGTTTTTGTGTTTTCATATTTTATTGCATTTTCATGAGAATGATTAGATACTCACTTCCTCTACCATTTGGCTTTCTATCTAAAGATGTAACATAACATACAATATGAGTTAATTCAAATTAATTTTTAAAAAAATACTAATAAACTCTAATTAAAACTCATATCATTCCTTTTCACTATCTCGTCAAGTTTTAAACCCTATTTAATGTAGTCAATGGATTTTATTTTAGATTATAAGTATAGATAAATAGATAAATATAAAGATATAGATATATATATCAATTAGTGGTGAAATATTACAATAATTTATAACTATTTATCCAAAATGTAATGTCCAAATGGTATGGGTTATAATTAGAGTTTAAGGTATAGATCCTGTTTAATGTATTCAGTGGATTTTATTATAGATAATAAATATAGATAAACAGATAAATATAAAGATATAGATATATATAT